AGTTGATTTCAAAAATTCTGAGGGGAAAGCTGGGCTACAACAAAAAAGGGCGCCTCATTTTTTGAGTGGAGAGCAAAACTCTATATGGATGAATTTTGAAAAAAAAAATTTAAAAAAAATTGTCAAACCGGGCTGATTTTTTTTGTGTGCCAAAAAATATGTTTTGGCTAGAGAATACATTTTTTTCAGCTCAATTGTATGCCATTCTCATTGCTACTCCGAGAACTTTTGTTGGAACCCTCGTATATACTCGGAGATTTTTTTTTCATTGCAATTCATGTGGGGACAGATGTCACTGCAATATAAGTTGATGTGTAGTGTCGCAATAAAACACAAAAAATATATATATTTATATTCCGAAAATATATACATATATTTAATCGTTGCGTTAATTTTTGCGAAATTGAATAATTTTTTTTAATTGTATATATTTTGGAAAGTTGTGAATGTTGTGCAAGGGATTCCCATAGACTTTTTGAAGAAACCCGGCTGTGTGTGTTTTTTTTAAACCATATCATTTCTGAGTTGCTTTCATGCGAGAAGCTTTTCTTGCTTCCCCATCACCGCTTTTATTTCCTGTGGAACGTGATGCGAATTTCCACGTTGTGGTGTGATATCAATGCAAATGCTCCTTTTTTGTTTTTGTTGTTGAAAGGACACGAGGGGATAAAAAGTATTTTGTATTTCTTTTTGGCTGCGTTTTTTTTTGCGTCGTTTTGGTGCGAATGACGAATGTAAAAATTGTTGGTTCTTTTTTTTATGGAAGATGGAAATAATTCCAGTCAGCGAAGACGATGAATTATTTAGTGAGCTTTGATTTTTTTTTACAAATTATGATTCAAGTGTGAAATTTCGAGACGAATGTAAAAATTTCCGTGAAAAGTGACTCAGAGAATTAATTAGTTTATGCAAAACAAAAAAATGAAATTTTTGGCCCTGGAAATGTGGACTTTACCAATTTTGTGCCACATTAGTAAAATATTCCGTGTATTGAGTTTGCAGGTGAAAATTAACTTATTAACGCAATTTTTTATACCATGGATCATGTGAAGAAACTTCTGTGATCCAGAAAAAATTTTATGAATAAAAATCTCGCGTAACCAAATTTCAATGCGGAGTGAAATTAATTTTTCGTTTTTGAATATCATCATAATAAATAACTGAAAATTTTGGGAAAGAAATGTATCCCATGTCAAGAATTTCCCTTTCCTTTATATATATATAATTTTCACAAATAATATATATTCAAACAAATGAAGGTTTCTTTTGTTGATTTTTTTGAGTTTGAGTTTTAAAAAACTCTAAAAAGTTATTTATATATGGAGAAGGAGAAGATTTCAATTGATTATTTTAATAATGATCATTATTTTTATTTTATGATTGACATATAGGACTCGTATTGGGAATTTGTTTCACAAAAACCTATTTATTTGTTTCTTATAATGCTAAAGTTGGAGATTTAAAAAGTTCATATGAACAAGAAGATTTCATTTGATTATTCCCGCTATTTTGTAAAACTTTTCATCATTTAGCATTCATTCAAAAAATTTTGTTTTTATCTCCAGGATTATTCTGTAATTTAGGCGAGTGAGAAAAAGCTGAGAGTGATTTTTGAAAACAATTTTGTTTAAATCATCGGTGGCCATAATTCTCCGCTAAAATTTTGCTGAAGCCAATTTTTAAAGTTCATTAATGTACATCTGTTAGTGTGAAAAAAATTAGCGATGCTAGTAGCGCATAATTAAAATAAATTATGCGGGACAATGTCATTATGGCTTCTTGCACCAGAGTCTGTCCTGAATAATATATCGAGTGGGTCAGTAGCTGTTTGCATAAAACTTGGCGTGATTCATATATATGAACTTTGAGTTCCTTGTGCAATACGTTTCGATTTTCAGTCCTAAAATAAAATTGCGTTGATCTCTTTTATATATATTTTTTTTTAATTGAAGGTCCCATAAATTCATCTCGTCTCTCAGTACTTATTGGTACAGGCGCCGTTTCTCATGTCCCCTCACAAGTACGCTACTGTACTTGAAAGTATTGAAGCTTCCGCCTCTGTATTTTTTTTTTCAAGCACTCACACTGAGATTGAAGAATACTTCACGGATGTCAGCATTTTTTTTTTCACGGATGTCAGCAAGTGCATGTATTGAAATGAGAATGAATGGACGTTTGTAAAAGCAAAAAAAAAAGCTGAAATTTTCGCGAAAGAAATCACTTTGTTTTGTGAAATTTACCGAGTAGTTTGAAAGAAAGTTACTGTTCAGTACTTCAGGGAAAATTCAGCCTTTCTTGTTTTCTCAGTATTGGCAGAACTCTTTTGCGCGAATTTATTATAATTTGCGTTGCGCAAATTAAAGGAAAATGGCTTGACATTTTAAAAATATTTTCTTGCTTCAAAAGGATTTTTAAATCACGTTTGGGGTTTGTGATATTCTTTTGGATTGCAAAATCCATTTGACAATATCAAAAAGCTCGCAATTGACGCTCGCAAACTTTTTTTTTTAGATACTCTCGTCAAAATTAAGAGCAATTTTAGCACAATAAACGTTTTAAAAAATTGCTGTAAATTCTCGTTAAAACGAAGCATTTGAGACCGATACAACGATAAATTCTTTATAAAGCGATTCAAATTATTGTCTTTTGTCAGGGACCTTATAACGATATTACTGTAAGCGATTTATTCGTTGTAACGAGATTCGTGGAAATGGCATCCCACTGAATTTTTTTCAATTCGCAAGTCTATTGAAACATTTGAGAGATTTTCTGCAAAGATCCTGTGTTGAAATAAAAATTTCTGGGATTTTTCGGATTATAAATATTGGGAAAAATTCTGAAGTTACTTTGCACACGAAGACTTTGAATATTTGACTTCACAAAGACATTGAAACTTTTTTTTTTGAACGAAAAAAAAATTGAAATATTTTGACCAAAAAACTTTTTTCCTCAGCGTTCCGCAGTGTACTCAATTTATTTGCAGTTAGTCATTTAATTTTTCAGCAATTAATTTTGTGCTCTGGAGTCAGTCAATTTTTGCGCAAGGTAGGTCAACAGAAATATGCTGTTCATGTACTGTACAGTACCTTTTTTTGAGACTTCAAAATTCTTCAATTCAAAATTAAAAGCATGAGGAACTAAAATACTTTTCGAAAACATTATTCTCTGAACATTTGCTCAACCGTTCAAAACTTACAAACATGACTGAAGCACTCAAAAATTGTCTGTTCTAGCTCTAATCGAGTATAATTCTCAGTCGAATACGCTACCTTCATGGTGCGACATCTATTTGGCAAACGGAAAACATTTGTCACGTTGTCCGAAATTTTGCGAGATCTTTTATTTATTTTCGCGCTGATGAATGTACTCAATTTATTAAAATTATGTGAATGTCTCGAGTTGACTTTGTACCACATTTACGTATTGTAAATTTTTATTGTTTCTTTTAAATTTATTATGCAGAGCCCGAAATTTTGCAAGATCTTATATTTATTTTCGCGCCGATGAAAGTACTTCATTTATTTTTAAACATGTATATGAATGTCTCGAGTTGAATTTGTACCGCATGTACGTACTGTATTTGAATGTTTTATTATTTCTTTTAAATAATTTATTTTCCGTTCTTATTTCGACAGAAATGTCCAAGAAGGAGGCCGGTGTCTCATATGTCGACTGCTCCAACCGAGATGAACCTCTGCGGAAAAACGAGCTGTGCGAAATCGACATTTCGCAATTTGGCTCAAATTGCAGTAAGGCCCAGAAATTCGGCTATTCCATGGGAAAGCCGTGCATTTTCATCAAATTGAACAAGGTAAAATATAAACAAGGACGATTTTATTTTACTCGAAATATATTTTTTCTTCAATTCTGCCCTATTTTTGAACGGAGAAATTCTGCATGGATATATTTCTTCTCAACAAAATTTTTGTATCGTTAACGATTTTTTTTAAATCGCCAAGCAAAATATAATATGGTTTGTAAACTCGCACAGGCAGCGACAGCTCAATTATTTTTTGCAATTTTTTTTTCACAGTACTAAATTTTTTTTTGCAGCATTTTCATTCCAAAATTAAAATGTATTTTATATTTTCCACAGCCAAAGGTCCCATTCAAAATTTCTGCCTCTTGTTTCCAAACAAAGTGCTGCAACTTCTCAGATGCTCCGGTGTGCCTTTTAAATTTCAGATAGTTGAAAAAAAAAATTTCAAATTGAACGATTACATCAAACTTGTAAAGCTCATATTATTATCTGGATTTAGCGGCTTGAACCTTTCTCGATCTAAAAAAAAAAAAAAAGAAAGAAAGGGATTGATTACAATATTGAATGTGCTTATTCGGAGAAAGTTTGAGTTTGACAATATTTTTCAGCTGAACAATTTTTCTTGACGTCTCAGAAATAAAATTGACGTTCTTATATAACTGCGTGATTTCTCAGCGCCTTTCAGTCATCCAGAATCAGTACTTCTCCGTACTTCAATCATTTATGTCTGCAATTTTTACAAATACTTGTGGAGTCTCTCTCTCTCTGTATAAAAAAATGTCTTTGTGTTCCCATGAGCTTTTTTGTCCATAGTGTACGTATACAGATTGCCTATGCAATTGAGAAATCATTTCTATAACGAATATGTTTTTGGTCTCTTGAATTTTGTTTGGGGGGGGGGGGGTGAGAGTCCACGTGAAAATATTTAAATATACAGTGAGACCCCAAGATGCGGTCATAATTGGTGCATCAAGAGTGTCCCTAAGTTGAATTGTCCCTATAAGTCAAGTCTTGTTTTTCCTTAGACTTACATTAAATAATTTTTAATTGGTGTTTTATGGGAGAAATATTCTTCAGAATTCCATGAAAAAAATTGTTTGCCACTTGAATTTGAATTAGTGAATACATTTCAAACTCAATAAGAACATTTGGAGCATTGAATAGTGTATCTTTGTACTGTTAATTGAAATGTTGACATCTACAAAAATAAAATTCAAGAGAGAAAAAAAGTAGAAGTTCCTCTATGCTGGTGGTAATTTTTTTTTTTTTTAGCTAAATGAATGGTAAATTGGTGAGAGAAATGCCCAAGAACTTTTCTTGCATCAATTTTAGGGTTGGAAATATCTGTTTCTTGTAATTTGGCTTGAAATGCATTTGCAATTATATCACAAAATGTCCCTATGTCGAGTCAGTTGTCCTCATGTCAGACCTTTTTTATTTTTTTAATGGGAAATGAGTGTCCCTATGTCAAATTGTCCACATGTTGAGGTGTATGCATGTGCGGGGGTTTCACTGTATTTTGTTGACCCGCGCTATTTTGAAAGGCGCTCAACTGTGCAGGCGCCCTTTTGACAATTTTTATTTTTTTTATTTTACAGATTTACGGCTGGGTGCCACCAGTTTTCGAGACCGTCGACGAATTGCCCGAGGATATGCCCGGGTACTTGAGGGATGAAATCAAGTCCCAGTACTCGGATGGGCAAAATAAAGTACGTATTGCTTTCATGTACCGATTCTTTGTGTGTGTGTGGGGGGGGGGGGAATCTTGAAAAGAAATCGATATTGAAAGGGCTTTTAAAAAGGAAAATTTTTACAAACGTTTTTGTGGTTCGGCAACTGTTATTTTGTGAGTGGAGTGGATTTTTGTTTTTATGAAATTTTATTTCCGACGCTCACAAATGGCTGCATTACATGACGTACTCGTATATTTTAAAAGAAAATTTGAAATTATTTGCTGTGAATGCAACCTTATATTCAACAGAAGGCTTTGATCGTGGAATTTTTTTTTAAATTCCGTGGTAAAGCTTCGGCATTTTAATTAGTAATCTTAATATTTCCGATGACATTTTTAAAAATTAATGTTCACGAATTAGTTTCTTTCCATTACTTGAATAAACTTCAGTTTTGCTAAACTTGAGGTTTCGAATTCAGGGAGAGAATGGATTGGCAAATATTATAGTACATTGAAGTACAATGGATGTATTCCTCGGATTTCAGCATAATTTTGATTTTCTCAAATGGTTTCTCTGATGAGAAACTTTCTGAAATTCTTTTGTATTTGCATTTTTTGGTCCCAATGTTTTTTTTCGAGCTTCAGAAATTCTTGTCAAGAAAAAAAAATTAATTCGTTATGGGCGTCAACCTCTTGTGACGATTACGAAATTTCTTACGTTGATATTAATTTGTGTTTTCATTCTTTGGTCCAAAAAATTTTATTCGAGCTTCCGAAATTTGTGTCTGCGAAAAAAATTAATTCGTTATAGACGACAATCTTGTGACGCTGACGAAATTTGTTACATTGAAATTATTTTGTATTCGCATTTTTTGGTCCCAATGTTTTTCCGAGCTTCAGAAATTCTTGTCAAAAAAAATTAATTCGTTATGGGCGACAACCTCTTGTGACGATTACGAAATTTATTACGTTGATATTAATTTGTGTTTTCATTCTTTGGTCCAAAAAATTTTATTCGAGCTTCCCAAATTTTTGTCTGCGAAAAAAATTGATTCGTTATAGACTACAATCTCTTGTGCCGATGACTAAATTTGTTACATTGAAATTATTTTGTATTGTATTTGCATTATTTGCTTCAAAAATGTTTTTCGAGTTTCCGAAATTCTTGACTCCAAACAAAATTGATTCGTTATTGTCGAGAATCTCTTGTGACGATGACGAAATTTGTTCCATTGAAATTATTTTATATTCGCATTATTTGCTCCCAAAAACAATTTTGAGTTTCCGAAATTCTTGTCTCCAAAAAAAAAAATTGATTCGTTATTGTCGAGAATCTCTTGTGGCGATTTTTTGGTCAAATTTATTTTTTTTTCGAGCTTTAGAAGTTTGTGGTTCTTTTTCGCCTTGAGTTTCAGCTAAACAATAAAAAATAAAAAATACGTGGTTGCTAAAAGCGGTACTGTTTAGAAAAATGAGCTTGGGACTCGTTTGCGAGTGTACATCAGTACTTCAGATAAGTAGGCTAGTGGTGCGTGACCTACCTGTATTCAAGGTTTCAAACGAGGCGTGGATAATTGGGAAGTCGTCCTTGCTCATTTTATAGGACTGGTTCCTGATGCTTGTGCATCTAAAAATATACGTATACGAGAATTATGGAATTAGGTTAGCAGAGTCCATCGTTTCGTTATCTGGGTCATAATTGAAAGAAGATTTAAAAAAAAAACTTGATTTTTGTTTCCTCTGAATGATGAGCGAAACTTTAATTTTTTTTTCGAACTCGAAAATACGAAGAGGATGTTGTTTGTAGCAGGAAAAATAAATTTTAAACTGGTGGTCCTCGGTTCAAGTACACTATTGTACAACTTCTACATTTAATATTTTTGTTTCATTCTTATTTAATTTATTATGATATCCATCTTTTCTATCAATTGATATTTACCCTTTGATTTTCACAATTTTACGATTTTCAAGATTTAAATTATAATGTTTACGGTATCATTATATTCGTCATTTTCATTATTTTATGGTGTCGAATTTACCAAATGATGATATTCCTCATATTTACCATGTTATGATATCCATAATATTCACTATTGTATTATAAAACTGTATTTATATTCACCATTTTATTAAGCTAAAATTACCAGAATGATGATATTCGTCATATTTACCATATTATTATGATATCCATTAAATTCACTGCAGTGTATGATATTCATCGTATTTTCTACATGATATCCAACATAATCACACTGCGATATTAAACATATTCACGCTATGATATACATGGCACATGTATATCATGATGTTTACGATATGTTATGTTTATCATATTTAAAATTGTTTATTCGCCATTTATATCCGTCATATTATGATATTTACCGTAATATTATTTTTACGACGTACAATACTTTTGGTAACATTTGATGAATATTTAAAATTGCATACTTAATTTGAATTCGAATCCTGTTTTGAAATTTCAAAATCTAGACTCCGCCTTCCATCGTGAGATTGACAAATGACTTGCGGTTTTGATGTCACATTTGTGATTTTATGAGTTTCTCAACTGATTTTTTTTAGAGAGAAATTTGTACAGGTTAATTGTGGCGCTTGAAGAATAAAATTAAAAATGAAACATACGATATTTGTGCTGTTTATCTGTACAGTATATGGTTGTGAAATTCTGGAATGAGAAGCAGATACTGTCTACAATGAAAAGCTCTCTATAGCGATCTATGTATCGTTCCCTCGATTAAATATATATTGTCAACAGAGAGAGAGGGAGAGATCAAAAGTTTTGTGGTTGAAAATCTCTAGCGAAAGTGGATTCCCGAGTTTGCCGTACTTTTGAACGACGCATTGTGCTGATATTTGTTTTCATTTTCTTTTTGTGTGCGAATTCTTCAACAGATCACAAAGAAAATGGTCTGGTTGTCATGCCAAGGCGAGAATGCGGCCGACAAGGAGAACATCGGAGAGTTGAGCATCACTCCGTATCCTGTGAGTTAATTTATTTTTTTTAATTTTCATTCATAGCAAGTCCTATTTTTTTTATGGGAATATTTGTGAAGGAGGTTTAATAAACATTTTTTTTTTAAAGTGAAACAAATGAGGGGAAACATGGCATCTTTTTTTTGGCATCCGAGTTCCGCCTGTTTCACATATGTCATGTCATGTCAGGTCACGTCAATTCATTCTTTTTTTTCGCATTTCGTCCCTCAGGGCATTCCGGCGGCGTACTTCCCGTTCATGAGGCAGCCAGGGTACACGAGTCCCATGGTCGCTATTCATTTCAAGAGACCAGAGCGTGAGTATTTATTTTTTATTTTTTGGACTTTATATTTTATTCGGGTTCTTTTGTGATGGTTTTCGAGGTAATACTTGGATGCATCGTACGTTTTTTGTTTGGTTTTTTTACGGCTCTGTGATTTAATTTATTTCATTTGTTCATTTTAATGAAATCTCATCAGACCCTGTGTGCAGTATTATATTTTTTGTTGTTGTTGTTGTTGTTGAGGACAGTATACTGTGCTGTACTTGGAATATCAAGACTTGAAGCTTGAATATTTATATTTTCGCACGTTTCGTATTTTTTTTTCGAGGGAGTCTTGGTTATTGGGCTAGACATGTTCGAAGATAAGGATGACGTAAAGTATGAGGTTTAATTTTGTGTGGAAAATATTTCATGGACCCTGCTGGAAAAGAAAATTTCTTGAAACGAAATTGGAGTAATGGAAAAAAGATTTCTTTCCTTGTGTAAATACTGTGTATTGTAAATGTATTTAAATATGTTATTATGTATATAAATATGGTATGTATATAAATATGTTATTATGTATATAAATATGGTATGTATATAAATATGTTATTATGTATATAAATATGTTATTATGTATATAAATATGTTATTATGTATATAAATATGTTATTATGTATATAAATATGTTATTATGTAGATAAATATGTTATTATGTATATAAATATGTTATTATGTATATAAATATATTAATATATTTCATATGAAATATTTTTTATGAAAATTATATTTTTTTGAACATTTATTTCTCATGAAAATAATGTATTTTTCTTTTGAAAATTTTTTAAATGTATGTCTTATGAAAATATGTTTATGAAAATATATCTCAATAGAAAAGATTCGGTATTGATTATTAAATACCGAGTCTGATATATTTGAACTTTAATGTCGTGGTAGTCAAAAACTCAAAATGTTGGAATTTTTACTAATTTTGTGGAAGGAGGCCATTATCCGGGACACCATAATTTTTGCTCAATAAGTTGAAGCTATTGAAGAATAATTTTTTTTTTATACTGAAGAAAACTTGTCTTTCCATCAGCCAATCCCTCTATTTCTGTTGAATGCATTTCCTCTGTTTTTCCATTTGATTTTTTTCTTTTTATACTTATGAAGCAATCTTGAAAATTTGAGGTTTGTCAGAAAATTGTGTTCGTGAGTTTCCGTGCTGTTCACTTTATCATACTGTGCCTGGAGCTGCCCGAGGTTATTTTGAGGCCTCAAGCTGAAGTCTTGTTAAATCGATCGGACTTGTTAAATCAAATGCAGGTTTGTCTCATAGACTGCATGATGTTGAGGTTCTTGGTGGCCGCTTTTGAATTTTAAATGTACTGTAAGGTATATATACGAAATTTATGACTCTCCTTAAAATTTGTCGAGGTAGCTCGAGTTTATGTCGCGTTTCTGCAAGTCCGATCTTTACTGTTCCGAAATTTAACGTTTCGATGAGTTTGGATATTCTGGAAAGGGGTTTCAAACTATATGCAGAGAGAAAAATTTAGCTGTCATATTTTTCTGGCTGATTTTCGTTGTTGTTTTGTTTTAACTATTATCTAAAATATCGAAAATATAATGTGTAAAACGGACAAAAATTTCTTTCTTTTTTTCGCCTGGGAAATTGACAGCACCCTCTGACATTAGTGGAGAAATTTTTGCTCTAACTGGAAAGTTTTCCGTTATTATCATGCAGTAAATTTGAAAATCTGGAAAAAATTCCCGAACCGCAGGACATCATGAGTTGAGGTTTTTTTTACAGGTCCATAATTATTTTAAACTATTATATATTGAATGTTGAAAAGATAATATGTAAAAAAAACGAAAAGTTGGATTTTTTAACAAGCCTGACAAATTTTCACCACCTTCTGACATTATTGGAGAACTCTTGGCTGCTGTAACTGAATAAAGTTTTCAGTTATCATCATGCAGTAAATTTAAAAACTATTTTTTAATCTGAAAAAAATTCCAGAGAATCAGAACATTATGGGCTAAAGTTCTTTTGCACGCCCATTAATATATTTTAACCATTATCTAAAATCTAGCAAAGATACTGTGTAAAACAGAGCAAAATTTCTAACATTTTTTAGCTGGCCTGGCAAATTTACAGCACCCTGTTACATTGGTGGAAAACTCTTTGGCTGTAACTGAGTAAAGTTTTCAGTTATCATCATGCAGTAAATTCAAGAACTTTTTTCAGATTTGAAAAAAAAAATCCAGAAAATCAGAACATTATGGGCTAAGGTTCTTTTACAGGCTCATTATTATTTTTTAACCATTTTCTAAAATTTAGAAAAGGTACTGTGTAAAACAAAACAAAATTTTTTTTTTAGCTAACCTGATAAATTTTCAGTCCCCTCTGACATTGGTTTAGAACACTTTGGCTGTAACGGGATAAAGTTTCCAGTTATTATCATTTAGTAAATTCAAAACATGTTGAAAAATCTGAAAAGAATCCCAGCCGAACCTTAGAGTATTCTGATGCATATATATATATATATATATATATATTTTTTTTTTAATAATCACATCTACACTACTGTATAGTAATATAAAAGATGGCGTCAAACTGGGACTACTGTACCAGCTTCGTTTGTGTCGCGGTTGATTTAAATCTCTATGGTTTTGAAGAGGGGTTTTTGTGTTAGAATTTGTGTTTGAATGATGATTTCTGTGAATTGATTATGTGTTTTTTCTTCTTTTTTTTGCAGCGGCTGTGTTGATCAACATTGAATGCAAAGCGTGGTTCAAGGGCGTCGTGCACAACCGCCGCGACCGAGTCGGATCCGTTCACTTTGAGCTCCTCGTGGACTAAGGAAAACTTTCCCGTTCTAGTGCTGCCTTTTTGCCCCCGATTCCCCATTCTACTCTATCGTGTTTTCTAAAAAAAAATGAAAGAAGAAAAACTTGAAAGGGAAAAAAAAAATCAAGAAGAACTCGTCGGTTTTTTTTTTCTGCGGTTATGCGCGCGAGGCGAGAAAAAAAAGGCGTGAGTTGACCAGGGCAAGAAGCAAGATTTTGACGTAGTCTTCGTCCTGGCTCTTAGTTTTTTCCGTTCGTTCGTTCGTTCGTTCGTTTCCAGATGTCGCGTGTGTATGGTGTTTTTTTTTCTTTCCTGTATTTCGTGGCAATAACGTGTCCCTCCCCCGCTCTGGTAACGATCGCGGTGATTTTATGGATGATAGTTGCACGGTGCTAACCCCGGTTATACTTTTTAATTTAATTTTATTTTTTATTTTGTCTCCGCGAAATGAGTTTGCGGAAACAAAACAGAAAAACGGAGGAAAAAAACGGGGGGTGGCGGCTATTCGAATTAATTGCGGGTCGCCGCCGCCTTTTTTTTTCTTTTTTTTTTTTTTCCTCGCCTTCGTCGTCGTCGTCGTGTGTGCAATAGGTGTGTGTGTTCGTGGGGAGGTCCGAAAGTTCGATCAGAGACGTTTAAGTTACAATCGGGAAATTTGATTCTTCGTTAAAAGTAAATATTATTATCTTGATTTATTATGATTATGAGGATATTGTATGTATTAGATCTTGAACGAAAAGTCAAATTCTGCTGGTGGATGATCAGCGATGAATGACCTGATGCCTTGTTTTTTTCGCTTTTAAATCAGGACCTGTATGATTTTTTTGATTGATTCTTTTTTAGGAAAATGCAAGTCAATTTATGAATTGTTAAATTATAAAAAAAAATCCCGGAAAATTTCGGAAATCAAAAGAAAAATCAAGAAGAGAGTCTGGAATTCCTGGCTTATTGAGGTTAGCATTCAAAACATTTTTCAAATACTTTTTTTACTGGGAATTTTTCAATTTTGTCAACGGAATCCAATTTTAACGCCTGGGTTTCTCCTGGTATCTGATGCGAAACCTTAAAAAAAAAAGCTGAGATTTCGTTTTGCGAAAAAAAAAATTACTCGGGTTAAATTATTGACGTAAACGGATTTTTTTTTTTTACGCTCTGAAAAAATCTGGTAAAATCTTGAAATTTTCAACTATCTATTTGTGTCTTTGGGGGACGTATCGGAAAGCAAGGACTTCGTCATGCTATTTTAACTTCTTTCCATTTCTCTCAAGCCACGATTTTCTTGTACATTTAAATTTGTAGAACCAATTATTAGAAAGCGCTACGGAAAAGAGAGGTATATTAATTTTGTGAGCACTCTGTACATGTTTTGTTTCAAATTTAAATTTTTCGAAAGCATTTCCGTAATTCTCTTTTCGATTAAAATTTTCGTAAATTTATGACAGCTGGAAAAAAAATTCTTGAACGTTTTGATGTTTATGTTGATGCAAAAATAATTTTTTTTCAAGTGCTCTGAATAATGACGGAGTAATAATGAATACAAGGTGCTCATCTAAGTTTGGATCCCTCCCAAAAGTTCAGAAATTTTCACGCATTTAATCTGCTAAATTAAATCTCCATCGGTAATTATTCAAATATCCTGGCGTCATTCATCCATTAAAATTATTTACTCAACATTTCTCGTCACGCAAAAATTAATGATAGTAATATTAGCAATAAATGTCACATCATCGCGTAATTTGTTTTTAATTTTTTTTGCTCATCGAACCTTCGGACCAATCCTCACGTTCAATAGCCCCCTCATCGCTTTGTACAAAAAGAAATACGACTTGCGGACAACATCAAACAAAACGAAAAAAAAAAAAAAGTTGAGAAACGGGGGCAATGATGATGATGATGATGACGAGGCTGCTCTCACGATTGTGCAATTCCTGATGGCGTATCACTTTTGATTACCAAGTCCACTCGCTGCTCCATTTTTTGTGTGTATACTGCAAAAAAAAAAAACGAAAGAATGGGAAGAAAAAAAATTACGGACGGAAAGAGAGTGGAGAAAAAAAACCCCCCGGGCGCGCGCGATTATGACAACAACAACAACAAAAGAGAGAAAGAAAGAAAAAAAACCTATTCCTGTAAATTATTGCCGTGTTCTCGGGCAAGTTTAAGGTATTTTTGTTTTCGGGTGAATGGTTTAGTTGACAATGTGATTATGCCTTCTTGATGAGAGGGGGGGGGGGGTTTGGGGGTTGGTTCGCTGTGCGTGGGTTTATTATTATTACTATTATGATTTTTTTTTTTCTGGAAATATCTCGGTGGAGCCGATGATGTGTCGAGACCTGGGTAGTCCAGAGGAGAGGGAAAAAAAATCTTGGATAAGCTGCCATTTAGCAAAAAAAAAATTTCTTTTTTTTTGGGAAAGGGGGGAAGAATGTGAGGAATTTTTTTTTTTTTGAGTGGAAGCGACACGAGCCAAAACTCCTGCCTTTCTTGTTCGAAAAAAAAAAGAAGAAAAGGTTTTTTCTCTTGCTAGGCTGAGGCACTGTACACTTTTTGATTTTAGGGAGGCTATAGAAGAAAAAAAAAAGCGAGGTGTGTTTGTGTATATTGTTCACTGACGACGCACTTGTGGGAGGCGAGAGGGACGGTTTCAACAAGAAAGGAAAAAAATTTCAAAAAAGTGGAAGAAAAAAAAACAAAAAGGCAGAAGAAGGAAAGAATGAGTTTTAGGTTTAAAGAAAGTTGACTTGTTGATTGCAGGAGAGGAGAGAAATAAATATCCCTTGTTGGTAAAAACGGCTCATGTGTTTGAATCCATGCAAGGTTCGGGCTCTGTGGATTTGGTCCTTGCATAATGTGGCATTTCACTCATAATAATAATATATATATATATATAGGTATATATACTTACGTATTAGTTTGATTAATCTCTTTTGCAAATTGATGCAGCAGCTATACTCTTCAGTTTCTGCATGCTGACATGATGATGGGGCTTCAGACAGCAGCAGCAGCAATATGGCTTCCACTCACTGTCTTACTGCTCCTCACAGTTTATGGACATGCAGAGAGTGAGTCTTTTTTTTTCATCAAAAATGTTTGTACATATTCTAATTTTTTTCTTTCTAAATAGTCACTGTGGAGCCTCTGAGGTGTTACCATTGCTCTGAGAATGAGAACTGCAATGAGAACTTGGGGATTGCATCACCTTGCAGATCTGTGTATGACCGCTGTGCCACTTTCTATGACTCTGCAACTGCTGGTGAGTCATTGCAATTTTTCATTTTTAATTATTGTAACAAATATGGGCTCTTTTTTTAAAAAAAAGAATCAGCCCAGAAAAACAAGGATGTGATCACTTCAATATCAGTTTATCACCGATTTTAATGGATTTTAATTTGCTATAGCATGCGTTAAGTCATAGCTAAATTTTTCTTTAAGCTTATTTTGAGGTCTGTATATATATATATGTAACCAAGGCACTATTCCAGGATCAATATAATGACCAATTTGGTCTTGCATGATTATTCTAAAAGAAGACAGGCTAATTATAAAAGAATCATCCCTACAAAACAACTGTTCTGTGATCTCTTGAAGATCAGATTACCACAGCAGTCCAGGAAATAGAGTACTGTACTATAATGTGCCTGGATTTGGACTGCTAGCATTTTAGGAGTCTTTATTATATGTAATCAAGGCCCTTCCATGATCAAGATGATATAATTTATTTCCATCCTGACAATTTTCCACGTTTGTTTTTCAATGTTGAGAGGACTGCCTTGGATGAAAAAAAATGTGCTCATAACCAGCACACTTCAGTGTTAAATCCTGATACAACAATGTTACCCTTGATTTGACATGAAAATAGTTTTCAGATGAAACTGAAATTATCCATTCCAAAATGGTCAAGGTTTATATAGAATTTCAATTGGATTATTGGGATAACTAAATCATATTATACAATTGACCATCAGCAAATCAAAAAAAGGCTTGGTGCCAGTCATGGCATATTGAGCATGATGTACAATTTTTTGGACGATTTCAAGTGAAATTTTGGTTATCCATTAATTTAATAGATTAGTATTCATTACTGTATTCCAATCAACTTCTGACTGTGCTTAATTTTAAGAATTCCACTTATGCTGATTTTTTCAAGACTTTGAGATCATTGAACAGAAGTGTTGGAAGCCTTTGATGGATATACAGTATGTTATTACTGTGGGTCATCCCCACTAAATTCAAATGTGACATTCATAACAAAATTGTTTCACACATCAAAATTTGCATCCGAAATTGCATGGATTGTAGCAAGTTTGGAATCTCAACTTCCAAAATACTTGAAAAACTTGCCAAAAATTGAGATACAGATAATAGAAGTAAATTTGTTGGTGTCTAGGCCAACTCTTCGTGAATTCCAGAGAGTTGAGAGCTTGAAATTGTGATTATTTTGAAATGTATGTATTAAAAGTGGACATTGATAAAAAAATATTTTGGATGGTTGAAATAGTCTTATCACACTCAGATGTAATATTGGCTATTTTTCAGGCATGGAATTCAATTCAAAATCTGGCAACAGTGTGTTTCACAAAAACAAAAACAAAATAATAAAAAAAAAATAAAAAATAAAAATAAATATGCACAAAAATAAATTAGTGCATATAATGATAGTCATCCTGGAAAAGACCATTTTTTATGCTGGGAACCCTCAGTATGCAATCCATTTTACCTGAATCCAGAAGGCACTAATAAATTATTACCAGATATTGGCAAAACTTCTTATCCAACCCTTGTGTACATCCTGGATTTTTTTATGACTGTATGATCATATGGAAGGGGATAAGGAATCTCCTGTGAGGAAAGATGAAAAGGTTACACAGCATTTTTTGCAGAGTTTGAAGATACCACTGTTGATAACAATTCTGGGAGATTTCTTGTCCCTTTCTAAGAAAAATTGATAATTATTTTGGCATTACTTGCTTTACCAGTTGGTATCTTCATCCTCTTGAAAGAAAAAATGCTGTTTTGCCTTTTCCAGCTTGTGTGCTGGCAAGGGGATGCTTCTCCTATTTCTCTGGCTGCTATGAATTGCCCAGCAAGAAGGTGGTTTGCATGTGCCCAGAGGATGACTGCAACAACAGGCTCATCATCCCAGGACCAAATGTTCCTGAGCGCAGGAGTCCCTTGAACATCAAGACAAGATTCAGAGAATTGCATCACATCAACAAACCTGACAGACCACCTTTTTCCTTTGATGCATCAGCTCCTGTATATTATGAGCCCATGCCCAGTAGTAGGTCCAAGAGAGAAGTTACTTTGGTGGACAGATTGGACAACACTCCACAGGATTTGATGTATGAGGACAGAGGTCGCCCCATGACCCCTGCTGAATTTGAGTACAGGGAATTGACTAGAGTGAAGCCACATTTGTCACTGGACCCTGATTTTGGGATGGAGAATATTAGGATGCCTGCTTCCCCTGGGCGCAATTTGGAAGAGGAGCTTGAAATGCTTTATGGCCAAGGGCTGGTTGATGATGACCCATATGATGGTTACAATCCAAGGGAGTCCTTTTTGATCAAGTCCCTTATTGCCCTAGGAATCATCTCTGAAGATGACAAGCACCTGATTCCAGAAGAAGAGTTTGACTTCTCTGAAGAGAGTGCAAGAATGCTCAAGCCCATATTCATCACCACATATGAGTTTGACAGGGCCAGGACTTACACTAACCAAAAGTCCAAGCTGCCAATCAACCCCAACTTTCATTCCAGGATCAACTTGATTAACCAACATTTGCCCACAGAAATGATTAGGGAGAAGTCTAAGAATGGAACTGTGTACCCACCTGCTGAGAAGCAGAATATAGAAGGGTTGTATGAACCCTTGCCCACACCCAAGGGCTTTGAAAAGGCTGGCATCAGACCCATTGGCTTGTCCAATAATGGACCTAATTTCAAGTGCCCTTGTGTTTTGATCACTGTGGCTGCTGCCATTGTCATGTTTGTCACTTTTGTAGTCTTGGCCATGTCAGACCACAGAGGCCATGCAAAAAAAGTTTAATTTATCATCACCTGTTAGCATATTTTTTCTGTAAATGTCTTATTGAGAGAAATCAAAAGTGTTCTTCTTGTAACCTAAATGATATGTCTGCTGGTTCAAGTCCCAAAAATGAAACAGAGCCAGAATTGCAATTTGGGGATTGACATCTGTGAGTTACAAAATGAACCTAACCTTTTTATTGCAATTCTGGTGCTCAAGCATTATTGCAACTCACAAGATGGTCCTCAAATTGTTTCTTCTTGCTCTTTGTTTCTTTTTTGGCAGATCGTGTTGCAGCCAGGGGATGCACTTCTGTGAATCAGCAGGGTTGCTTTGAGGATTACTCTGGAGAGTACATCTGTGCATGTGCCACAACTTTCTGCAATGACTTTGCTGTGAGCTCTGTTGCTGTAGACTCCTTGACTGACCTCAGGAATGCTTATCACCTCTGGAATGGGAAAGTCCCTACAAGACCAAGACAGTTGACTCCAATCCCTATTGCCAGACAGCAGATGCATTATGACCAAGTGGTAGAGAAGAAGGCACCAGCTGTTGAAGCAGCATCAGTGGCTGAAGTTGAGAAGGATTTGATCCCTGAGAAGCCATTGTCCTTGGCTGCAAGACTAACAAGAGAAAGCATGAACCATGCCTTCAAGGCAACCAGCACAAATAAAAACAGGGAAGTTTTTCCACCTATAGACAACACCCCAGTGGACACCTTCTTGTCAAAGACTGCTGGCAATAACAAGCAGAATGGAGTGAGACCCCTGATGGCTCCAGCAAATGTGCAAGCTAGTCCCAATGGACCACCTCCTGAGGCTGAATACAATGGGATGCAGTTACCCAAGATGTCTACCTCCATAACCAAGAATAGTCTGATGAACTTTGGTAGAACAATAGAGGAGTTTCTGAACCCAGAGTCTAGGCCAGGGAAGAACCTGGTCACACCAGTGTATAATGCAGAAGGGTTGCCCATGAATTTTGTTGCCCCAACCAGTCAAATATACTCACCCCCCAGCCCCAAACCTGTTGCTCCCAAAACGGCACCACCTGCACCCAAATTGAAGCCCATCTCTTTGACCCCCAAAAAGTCTCCTTTGAAACCAGCACATCTTCCAAGTAATGCTGCTCCACTTGCACCACCACCACCACCACCACCACAACCAAGCTACCAGGTCATAGACAAGAATGTAGAGAGTGCTGTGCTCACTCTTCCCCCTGGACTCATCCCCAATTTTGGCAGGAGCAATTATGTGCAGCAACCTGTGCCAAATATTGCAGTTGTGGTGGTGCCTCCAGTGGTGGCTAATGTGCCTGTGGAGAAGAAAACTGAGACCCCTGTGGCACCTCCCAGGTTCCAGCAGCCACAGGAGGCAGTTCGCTATGTGCCTTTGGAAGTCAAGGCCCCCAAGGATAAATCCCCTTTCAAGTCCTTCCTGAAATCTGCTATGGACCGTCTCCTTAGCTGATTTTTTTTTTCCATGAGACAATTGCTTGATTAATACACATTTACTGTTCCCAATGTTGGCAGCAACAATTTATTATAGATCAAGTTTACAATTGACCCTGTTTATGCATGGTGTAAAGGGGATTTTACCTGCATTACATATACAGTAATTTATTGGCAACTTGTGTAATGTAAATAATGATTCATCAGAAGGAATGCATAAAATATCTTAATTTATTCGAATCATTTACAAAAAATATCCTTGATGTGTCCTAAAATCCTGTGTATTTTAGCCAGCTACAATATTACTCAATGCTTGAAACATAAAGGTAAGGCAGAACAGATATATTTTTTCTTCTGTAATGTTAGCTTTGATTTTAAAAGTTGGGTTTAAGCTTCCTGAAATCCATGCACTTCTGTTCAGAATTTTTCTTGTGTGAAATAACCTTCTCAATAAGCAAGTCACCCAATTATTACTTTGCAAGAACTTTCTTCTTCTGCAGCAATATTTTTTAACTCACTTCTGGTTATTCTGTTGACTTGAAATTTTGTGCATTATTATGATATACCTTATATATCCATCATTAAACTTTCTATTCTTGAAAATGCAATCTTCTGAACCAGAGCTACAATGAATGTGTACCCTAACCCAGATGATCATATATTGTAGATAATTTGATGCTGTTGATTACAAAATGGCATTTTCTTCCAGAAAAGAATCTTAGACTAATTGTCCCTGACAATCCCAAGAACTCTGGGTTGCTCCATTTACAATCAGGCAGAATAAGTTGCAGAGAACAAAGCTTCAAGTACTCAATTTAATGCCTGTATCACAAAACATGCAAGGTTCTTGGCTGTCTTTCACGGAATTTATAAACATGTACAGCACTACACATTATCAATTCCTTATCATATATATGTACAGAAGTTGATTGGGGGAACTGCAATTTATTATAAAGTTGTTCAAAAGATCACAATTTACATGAAACATAAACAAATCTTGGATCAATTATTCACACATTTTCGAGTGTTTTCAAATGTATTTTGCGTGCTTGATTTCTAGTTGGTGTGAAGGGTAGGGGCTGCATCAAAGACACCATGAGTGGTTGCTATTCCAAGGATGATGGAGGAAAGTTCTGTGTGTGCCACACCTCATACTGCAACAACTATCGCATTGGGATTCTGAAGATTAGAGCACACAAGACGGATTTGTTGGTGGGGCCCAGCACAGCAATCAGCTTTGATGTCATAGAAACGCCTGAAGGATGGGCCCCGGGGCCAACTGATGTCAGCGACGGTCCGGATGTGTACAGTTTCCCGGATGCTGATTCGCCAAACGCTCTAGAAGATAACGACAAGACAGGAGCTAAACCTGATTATGAGATGTTGCAAATGTCCGCCGCCAATGAACCTGGCGCGGAACTCCAAGGTAAAGAGAGTTGTCAGGATGGTACAGGCGGGTGCATGAAGGAGTTATAACAAGAATGGGTTACCTCTTACACAGTACTAGCAGTGAAATGGTGTATTATACTAGTAGTTGGTGCTGTCATCTGTTAAATGAGATCGGAAAAGACTGCAGTACATTATTTTGAACAATAATTTAATCAACTTCAAATGATAATCAGAGGAACACGAATCATATTCACCTCATCAGAAATCAATTGGTAATTCTTCCAAGTAGTAGAAAAATAATTTAGAATCTGACTGCATATATGCAATAAACGGCGGCAAGTGCCATCATGCAGTTGTGGGGATTTTGTTCCTGCGTTTCTAAAAAAAATGTCTTCCCCATTTTTTCTAATTCAATATCATTACTACAAAATTCTTCATTCCGTGAATTCTTAATTTTCAGCGCTGTTGATTCATACATTCGTGAAAGCCATTTTAAGATAATCACAATATTGTTCTATAAGGATATTGCATGTAAGATTTGTAAGAATGTGAACTTTAACTTCAGCCTTCTATATATACTGTGTATGATAGGTATCAGATCTTCCATAAATTTTTGTAATATTCTTGTTTAACTGAACTAAAATATACAGTATTACTAATCTAGTACAGCACAGGCGGTATTTCACGGAGTTCTCGTCGTAAATATTTTATCCATTCTCGGAGCTTTTATAATTTGTAGGATTTCCTGTTGCTCCCTCCTTCCAGTTAATGTAGAGCTTAACTGGTTGATAATAATAATCTTCGCGAATTCCCTCATGAAATTCAGGGGATGTGTCGGACTCGTCGGGACTTTTTAAGGAAACCACGTTGTATCAAACACAGCCCGAGTTACTAGATAAGTATCGGCAGGGGGTTCCTGGTAAAACCCGCATCATACCCATAGGCCCGGAACAGATGCGAGGAGATTCTTACCCTTCGAATGAGAAGATTGTGAACCTTGGGGAGAAACCAGTGTTCGCCAGCGTGGAGGAAGTTATGCGAAGAGGTCGGCAGATTATCGCGAACAGTTCCTGCCGAACTCAATTTCCGACCGCGTTACTCGTGATTTCTATTCTCCTCATCTCCGTATTTTTGTAATTTTCGGGTCATTCTTATTTGCTTATTGTTTAAATTCTATGATCGCCAGTCTTCGAAACAGAAGTGGAGTATAATGGAGGATTTTTTTTTAATTGACAGTCAGTGCGATTTGTGTGATGCGCGAATTTGATCTGAAATAATGCGCAGAGATTTTCGGCGAATTTTTTCGAACAATCTCTGCCGCATTGAATTTCAGACCGTGTTCCTCGTGCTCAATATACTTTCTTGTCAAATTCGGTTCACTCCTTGCTTGTTTCCAGATCTCAGATTACAGTATCTTTTTTGAAACGATATCAACGTGCGATAAGGTTTTTTTTATTTATTTCACGTCCTTGAGCGATGGAATTGAATTTGCCTGACGATTCGGTGTGATGGGAAATGAGATGGATGAAGTTATGCGGAGAGATCAGCAAACTAATGTATTACAAACAGTTTATCAATGTTGAGCTATATACCAGCATACAGTGTGTCTCGCTGTTTTGTTTCCTTTATCTCTCTCAGTAAGTTTTGGTACTTTCCTTCTCGCTTGTTCTATTGATAACACCACAGATTATTAAATTTTGGAAACATTCTTATGTATATTTGTTGCAAGTGTTCGAGGAACTATATGCATGTACAGCACGTGTATTACATGGCCATTTGTCGTGAGCGATGATATGAGCAAGTGAGATGGATGAATTGCTGTGCGTTAAGTTCGTTGCAGAACTTAGTTCCAGAGCGAGTTCATCATTGTTACTTTTATTCATATTTTCATTGCTGTATTTGAATAATTTTTGGTTGACTCCTATATGCACGCCAATGCGCTTCATTGAGATCCGGAACTGAAATAGATCAATGAACCTTCTCAGTTTGAGCTTTGACGAGAATTCGTGAGTGCGTCATTTGGGCGAATAAGGTGGTGCCAACCTCCTAAATTAATTGTGTGGATTTCAGTATGCTGAAATACACGCGAATAATTTGTTCCTAAAACAAGGAAGGTCTTCTCTCATAATCACGAAGTATGATCTCGAAAGAAGTTCCCATTTCTATACATGCAGCACGCGTTACAGAATCAAGAAATGTACAATTGGAAACAATCATTCTTTGGGATCATCACTCATCATTATTGTTCGACTTGAATTTGGCAGAAATTCACAGCAGACGACACTTCCTTTTCTGTTGTGCAGTCATATTTGATTCGCTCAAGACGACCCTCATGGCTTCTTGGAAAACACCTTCCAAGCCCTCCTGAGTGAGGGCCGAACATTCGACGTATTTCTCAGCATTGATCCGCATCTTCAAGTCATTCCCATCTTTCGGCGTCATGCAAGTGATTGTTTCACCTGGTCGTTGTGGTATACGCAAGTCTATCTTGGTTCCTGTTGGAAACGAAGTTTGCAGTGTAAATTGATGATTTGATTTCGTTAGTGCAATACTGTGTGCTTACCAACAAGAAGAACTTTAGCTCCAGGAACATGATGACGAAGTTCCGGAATCCACTTGTGGATCACATTGTCATAGGAATCCTTTGAGTTGACAGCGAAGCAAACGAGGAACACTTTGGTCTGCGTTGAATATTCAAGTATGGCAAGAATGGAGTGAGGTAGGGAGTAAGTTTTATGATGTCTACACCGCTTAGCGCATTCTGTGTAAAATTTTTATTGGCTAGCGTATTATCTATGTTCATGAATTTTTAAAGGACAGGTCCATGGCCGGGTTTCGAAAAGTAAAAGTGGAGGTTCAACTTCAACGGTTTAATTTTCTTCAGAGCTCCATTATTTAAATTGAGTTAAAAACAGTTGTGAAATCCGGTTATCCACATATTGTTCAATTTTAAATTACTTTAAATGAAGAAACTTTCTTGGCTTCCTTATTACTGTACTTCTCTTTCATGGGTCACCCAGTCATCAATATCAGACGATTATTCAGTTAGAACTTCAATGTATTGAAGATGCGAACGATTTAATCCATATTGAAAAAATCAGATCAGAGCAGTTTTTCTTAACATGTTTTTCAACAAAGATCAGAGGTGTATTTTAAGAAGGAATGTCTTGGAAATGTTGCAAGTAGAAAACAAAATTCATTGTATATGTTTGCAAAGTTGAACAAAGTATATCTTATATATAGATTTACAATTTGAGAACCTTCTGATAATTTTTTGGCATGAAAAATATGTTCAAATGCTTGAAAATATGCAGCATGACTCCCCATGTCTCCAAGCTACACTAATTTCTTCAATCATGAGTTTTGTTGTACAAAAGTTTTGTCAAAAAAGATTTTGAGTAAAATTATAAATTTAAAATGGGTTTCTTTCTTTCTTTTCAGTATGTGCTGATATTTGCCCAAGTTTGAATTAATTCTTATTTTAGTCTGGAAAAGTTTGGGTGAGTCACATTTCTTACTGCATGTCATTATTTTGACAGTTGAAGTTCTTCCAGCATTCATTTTAAAATCCTGAATTCACTTTACAGGATCAGTTTCTCTGCAACAATTGTGCCTATAATGATTTTGCATGTGGGACACAGGTTTTGGCCCTATATGGGGTTCTCTTCTCACATTGAAGGGGTTCTCTATAATGGAATTCTGAATTTTGTCTGGTCCCTTGAATTTTGTTGTAGATAAGAGAAACCACCTTTATCAAGTGTTAAAACAGCCAGCAGACTAACACAGCAGTTAAATTGTATAGAACATAAATCCAATGTACCATAATTTGATTCTGGTCTAATATCTGATGCCTAAAATACATATTTTTATATTTTTGGAGGTTCTAGATATACTGTACTAAAATTTCTGCCATGAAAAAACAAGTGTGGGTGGAAGTTACACTTGAGAATTTTTTCCAAAAAATTTTCTCTGAAAAACCTCATATGTGATGCATGTGTCTTCTTTTGGGCATTTGATAGTCATGTGAATACATTACTTAAATATACTTTAAATACATAAAGATATCATCAACCAGCACTGCAGCAAATGGAATGTTTCTCACATCTGGATAAGAAAGTGGGCGGAGTCTGTCATAGTCCTCCTGTCCTGCTGTGTCCCAAAGCACAACCTTGTAAACTTGTCCATCAACTGTCATCTTTGCTTCAAAGTTGTCAAATCTGTCAAATAAAAAGAATAACATATTATCACTGGATGAAATCAAATGTTACATTTTTAAAAGTAATTAATAAAGTTCTTGCTTGCTTACACTGTTGGAACGTATTCAGTGGGAAATTTCTTTTTGGCAAACGTTTCCAGCATGCATGTTTTACCAACAGCGCCATCACCCACTACAGTTATTTTAGGCGTGTAGTTGGTCGCTCCTCTGGAGTTGTCCCTGTCACTAAACATGGCGTACTACTGTGGAAAAGTAGTGATAGGGATACGGTTCCCGGAGAGAAGCTTATCACTTTTTGAAAATGGAGAATGACAAAAGTTCTTGGAATCCAAACATGTGATGGTATGGTACATGGTCACATTTCCAGCCTTTTTGTGTGGTTCTCTGTGAAAATGTGATGAAAATGCTATCACTCAATGCAAATTACATCATAAATAATTTTCCAGATTCATTGCAAAAAATCAGAAATTTCTCCTATATTTGAGAAGATCATTGATGAATCCTCTCTCTTGCATACTCTGATGTGTATGGAAATAAATCTTACTCATGATAACTTCATGGCATGTATATAGTTTACTACCACATATATTAATTCCAAATAAACTTATATTGTTGCCTTTCTTTGGAAAAATTTTTGCTTAATCCTTCTCTTTGGAAATTTTCATTATTTTTCTCAGTATAATATCCACGCAGGGACCAGAAAAAAATGGTCAGAAAATCTAGGTTTCCAAACATTCTGCCACTTATTTGAGGAAAATGTATCAAATATTTTGTAGTAATACAGTACAGTTGAACCTCTCTAAGTCAAAGTATTAAGGAACAGGGAAAATTTGACTTAGGGATGTTTTGACTCAGAGAAGTTTTGATATTATGAGGTTTTGAGTTAGGGAAGCAATCAATTTTGCTGCTAGGATAAGTAAGAAAAATGCAGGAAATTGTACATGAGGATATTCTGAGCCTAAACTTGCTTCTAAATTAGCTTGCTGTACTTGGATACAGGGGCTCACTTGCTTAATTAGTCTTTCACTTCCTTTCAATAAGATGCTTAAAATAATTTGTTTCATCAATTTTTTCTTTCAGTTTTCAAGGAAATACAGTGATTACAAAAAGGCCTCAGAAAATTCAGCTGACACAGAGGTTTGAGTGGAAAAAAAAACTTTGATTTAGAGAGGTTTTTAATGCATTATTTCTTAGGGAATTGGATAGGGAAATTGAGTCAGGGAGGTATTTGACTTGAGGAGGTTTGACTTACAGAAGTTCAACTGTATCATTAAATGATAGATTGTTCCTTACAAAACTTGTTATGTGTTCATGAAGTTATTTGTTGTAATGGTATTTAAGAAGTATAAATTATTATTGTTTCACCTGGGGGTGCAATAAAATTCTACAAGTATCATGATATTGACTTCTGCAAAAGCCCTGTGCTATATTGAAGGACTGGAATCTTTGCATCATGAAAAATTCATGCATTTGGGTGGCATCCATGATGGGAACAGAATATGTATAAAATAATGATTATTCCTCAAAGTTTTTCTCTTCTTGAATGAATGGCTGAAAATTTAAGGTAATCCTATACCTGCAGTCATCATCCTAAGACAGACAGACAGTAATTTATCAATCCCAGTTTCCTCTCATATGTAGTATACTGTATATTGTATAGTTTATACAGTATTATCATACCAGCTTTGGGCCAAGTTCACACATGTACGAATATTGGAGCCCGCTCTGCATATAAATTGTACAAAATTCGAGACCTTTGTACATTTTTGAATTAATCAGAATTAATTACATTTTCCAGAATGCTTCAGACATTTGTATGTCATGATGCATGCATATTTCTTTCAATGCGGTGTGCATGGTGTGTGAATAGTGACATCTAGAGCGCATTTGCGCCAGGAGAAATGCTCTCTAAATCAGATGTCGCACCGAAATGTTTTGGTTGCTGATTGTTTGGGAATTACAGAATATGCCAGCTATGATCAGCTGATTCAGAAATGTGCTGATCTCCGCAAGTGCGTCGCAGTTGACGTATGGACTTTATGGTATACCTTCCAAGTGGCCTCCTCTCACTTGCACCCTTCCCAGCTTGAGGGCTATTCCCTTCCACTGGGGTGTGGGCGGCACAGCCATTGATGAGTGACTTTATAAGCGCATGGTTTCCAGATGAGGGATTCAATATTGTACTGTATTGTATAGTGAAGATAAATTATAATTTTATTCATATTATTTGTGCTATGTTATTCGGAAATTCAGAATTGTTTTATATATAAGAAAAAGTGTTCCTATATGTGCACTGTTATTTGTCCCTGGGAGTCTCCTTACATTTTACACAACCTAAGCATGTCAGCTGAAGTCACTCAATTAAAACTACTAATAGCTCTGGGCTGAGTGGAAGAAAACAGCCCTTCAGAGAGGCAGCGTGGAGGTGAGTGGCGTTGACTTCGAAAGTGTACCATAACGTCCGGTCGCCGGGCTGACCGGAAGTTGTAACATAATATGTCGTGTAAGGCATTGGAAAGCGGTGATGCGGATGTGGCCGTGAATGCAAAGACATGGTGCGTAACGAATCACGCATTATTTTCATTCAGCACTCTCACCCACATGCATTAACCGTCGGCTTCTGAGTTAATCACATCGGTTAAGTGGTTGTGCGATATTCAATTCAGGAGGAAGCTCAAAATACGCTAGAAGATGGGTTGGATGCTCCGAAAAGATGATTAGAGCGCTCTTGGGAGTCCATCTAATGTCCGTTTGTGGAGGACGGAATTTCAAGTCGGAATTCAATATTCCATGGATATTTTGAAGATCAACACATTTCGTTAATCACAAAACTGCTTTGCCAAGGCATCGGACCAGATTGATCCATTGTGCAATGATTTTCTCTACTTTTGGAACTCGACATCAGTTTCTCATCAACTCGTAACTGGGTTACTGTCTGTCGATGCCACTTGTCGGTCCATGTACTGTGATGTATTCTTTGCCGTTGAAGGAAATTTTCTGTTGATTGTTCTACATAGTAACTTTCCTGTAAACTTCAAGCATGGAATATCTTGAAATGTCAAGTGATCCTGTTGTTGTCCGGTGTTGATTCAACCGATGAGAAACATGGAAATTTCAAGCTGAAGAAAGAAAAAACTTTCCTTAAGCTTCAGAAAGAACGTGAACTTATTGAGAATCTTGATTGTCCAATTGCCTTGAAGCTCATTATGGAAGGTATGGATTCTGATCTTGTATTGAGGACATGGTTTACTTCAAGAATGTTAGCTCCGAATGTTCATTTGCCGTATAGAAAGTGGTGGTTCCCTCAAGTACTGTACTCTCCAAGTGTTTTGCAGTTCCGTTGAATCAAGTCCCTGGAAGATTATGCGCATTGATAAGTTACTTGTTGTGCAAGTGTACAGCAGCTTTTCATTGAAACGCTCTTCTCCATTTCACCATATATTCGCCCTGAACGGTTTTGGTGATTGAATGCGCAAACTTCGGATTTTCTTCAGTTGAGAGGAAGGAAACACTTAGAGGAAAATCGTTCATGAGAGAAATTTTTAGATCAGCTAGATCCAATACTTTAATTTGATGAAGCACAGGATAATCGGGTGTTTGTGTTCAATAGCGGTTGTGAAATTCTGATGAAAAACTTGGGTGACTTGGCAGTGACAAATGTTGAAATATCTTTTGCAGGTATATTGTTATGTGAATGTGTGCCTCCGTTTGGCACTGGTTTGCATTTTGTATGGACATTATTTTGTGACATTTTTTATCGAACGATGGATCCTCAACTAGACAACGATATTTTTGAAGATATCCCTGATGTAACCCCCATCAATCCGGGACCCTCCGACGGCCAGGGAACAGATACTCCACGAGACAAGTAATTTACCTTGAAATTATTTGAAATCATGAAATGCGTACGATGGTGGTATTTTTCAGGAACAAGATTGTTTACCTCACATTTTGCATTCTCGGAATTTGTGCATTATCGCCCTGGGTTTTCTTCACCACCCCCAGTAGCTATTGGATGTACAAATTCAGGGATGCAAATGCCACCGCCGATGATGATCCTCATACGAAGACGGAGATGCAGAAGAGTTTCTTGTCATACTTGAGTCTTGTGGCTACAATTACGGTCACTATGTCTTTGGTTGTTAACGCTGTTTTGTGCCATCGGTACGTTAAGAAGATGACTTCGCCGTGAAATGCCTTACTAATATTCATCTGGTTCTTTCAGGGTTCACATTAATTACAGGATCTTGGGATCAATCGTGTTGCTTTTTGCATTTATGGTCATGACTACTTGCCTTGTGGATGTTGATACGGACAACCGTAAGTCTCACGTTGCACAGATGTTATGAAAAATTACATTTTAAATCTTTACTCATTTATGAAGCGTATTTCCGCGAAGGAGAAAGTCAGACACGTAATTAATCTTGGAAGTATCTTTTGCCAAAACTAAGCTGTTAATTCAATATGTCTTCTTTTATCAGATCAACTGGCGTTTTTCGTTTTCACGCTGGTGACTGTGGCGTTGATGAACGGTGAGGTTTCTTTGCTGTTTTCCTTTTTGTTTGACTATCAATTCATGCTTTGATTCGTGTTGAAGTTGTTGTTGCCGTGTTGCTTGGTGGAGTGAGTGGAATAGCTGGCAAATTCCCAGCACATTACATCACAATCTACGCCATTGGACAAGCCTTGAGTGGCATGATTGCTGCTGCAGCCAGGATCATCACCCTGCTACTTGGAGCATCCGACGAAGGATCCGCTTTTGTGTATTTCGTTTTTGCGGATTTAGTTTTACTTTTCGGTGCAGGAGTGTATGCGTACGCGTCGAGGCAAGAGTATTTCTTGCATTTCCAGCATCTGGGAGTTCAAGACGAAAGTGATGAATTGGAGTTGCTGAGCATGAAAAGCATGGTTGCGCAACGGGAAGTTATGAAAAAGGTGTGAATGAGTGAGTGGGAGACATTTTCCTCGTGGCAGTTGAAAGGTGTATTCTTTTCATTCAGATTTGGGAGGAAGCCGCGACTGGAATGCTCACATTGAGTGTGACGCTCTGCATAAATCCGTCGTTGACAAGTTTGGCTGTGTCGGAATCTAGTGGTGATGATTCTATGTGGACAAGTTAGTATGAACAGAATTGATGTTTTTTTAAATCGGAAGCCCAGTTTTGTCATACTTTATGATGGTTCTTTGATGTGGTTCTAGACGAAATTTACATTCCGTTGTGTGGATTTCTCGTCTTCAACTTCGGGGACGTGTTTGGCAGGATCATCGCTGGCTGGATTCGTTGGGTTTGTGATTTTTTCATCATTTACTTTTATACTCGAGTGCTGATACAGTATTTTATCCTCAGAGCGCCTTTTGAAAAAAAAAATATTGGTGCCTTTGTACAAATTAGAGATTTCTATGGGTCTATTTTGAGTCACGGACAGAAAAATCTTCGTCTTATTCTTGTGATTCTTACTTGGTGAATCCATCACTTAGCTTTCTATTGGTGAATGTTGATTGATTTATACTTCAGATTTTTTTTTCTCCTTTGTTTTTGTGTTTTTTGAAGCATCGGTAGGTAACCTGTGTAGCAAGAAATTTAGTTTGGCTTTTCCTCGTCTGAGCTGCACCTGTACTGATTTTTTAAAAAATATTCTGGAAGACTTTGGACTGAAAAATGTTACTTATTTTTAGCCTGGCCCTGCGGACAAAGGAGTTTCCTTGGTACTTTCAAGTGTCAGACTTGGGATGATACCTTTATTCATGTTGTGCAACCTACATCCGAGATCTTACTTGCCTGTGTATTTGGAGTCAGACTACTACTACGTGATCTTGTCTGCGATCTTGGGCCTTACAAATGGTCATTTGTGCAACAGTGCGATGATGAACGCGGCTACGTGAGTACCTTTGATGCTGTGAAGTGATTTGAGACCTTATTAAATCCCGCAGAAACGTGGATATTTTTGAAATCAGTGATCAGATATGTGTTGAAGAAGGGCAGAACGGTGTGAAAGGTAGTCAACGAAAAGACTGGGGTCAATCAAATAATTTTTTCAGTGTTGAGGATGAACAAACGGTGAAGGGTTAGGCTTTTTTAACTCATCGCCGTTGCGATTCAGTCATACATTTGAGAAGCTGAAAAAGATACGCTTTTACTTGGAGTTGTCTGAGCTTTTTTTTCTTCTTTCTTTTTTGGCCAGACGATAATTGTTGTCATCATTATGACAGTTTCTAAGAGCAAAACGTGTCAGTGTCGGAATTTTTTCCTTTTCCCTAACTTTTCCTCTCAGTTCGTCGATGTGGAGGATTTCATAATTTCCAAAATATTCACATTTGCTTGGGTGTATTAGTATGTGAATCATCCTGCATAAAATAGTCTGTTGATGACAAAAAAAAATTCCTTATTTAATCACAGGAAAGTCGGGCATCATCACCGAGAAATTGTGGGGCTGTTGATGGCTGCGTACCTTGGAATAGGTACTTGTATTGGATCTGCGCTTGCAATTGTGGCTGTCCATTTCTTGTGAAGGATTTTTCGGAGATATTTAAAACGGAAATTTATTTTCATTTCTTGTGTACGTTTTCTTACAATTTTCGCGGACGAAGAAAGAGGATGGATGACTGTTGATCGTTTGTGTTTGAATCACTGCATGTGGTGGTTGACATATTTCGCTTGTCTTTTACAGAGTATGTGTTGGAATGAGTGGGATGAGATCGTTTTTGTGTGTAGTTCTGTGACTATTCAGGAAGTTCGCGACATCGAGGAAACTTCAGTGCTCTTCTCTGCTACGGGCTGATCGCAGTCATCGTGAGTCTAATTTTCTCTATTAGAATTGGTGAAGTACTGTTTTTTTTTCGAAAGTCCATCAATTGCATCGTTTTTTCTGACAGTTGTTTGACGATGGCAACATAACAACAAGCCAGCGTGAATGTCGGGAGTTTTGCACTGTAAGATACGATGTGAGTCGTAACTAACCAAACCTCTATACTTCGGATTCGTGCGGACTGACCAGAACTGCAAAGATAGCTCAAAACTGTGAATTGAAATATGTTGCTCCGACTGACAATGAATTCATCGCATTTTAAAATTTGTCTTATAATTGTTTTCAGATTGAATCAAAATTTTTGACTGTTGCCACTTTTTGACCTGTCTATTGAAATTAGTTAAAATTCCCTTCTTAGAGTCGAGTATGACAAGAACTAAAGCTTTGAAAATTTTGGGAAATGGGATTCCCCTTACCTATGACAGTAAGCCTCTATTTTTCCTCTCGAGTAAAATGGAAGTTGTGCATGGTATTTGAGTAAATATGATATTTTTAGCCAAGATTTTGCATATATCGATGGGTGAATGTAATTCACTTCATAGCATGCATAGGTCCACTAAGGGGGATTTTGCAGTAATGTTGGCAGGTAGGCTAAGATTCATCTACGAAGTGCATTCTTGAAGGCTGTGATTTATTTTTAACGAAGTCAATTTTTTAGATAGGTACGCGGTATCTGAGTAAACTTGAACGGTGTGTTGTACATGGTTGCCCGGCTAGCTCAGTCGGTAGAGCATGAGACTCTTAATCTCAGGGTCGTGGGTTCGAGCCCCACGTTGGGCGCTTGATTTTTGCCCCAGTTTATTGTAACCTTGTGGTCTTCCTGACATTCGAAATCCGTTGACGCATCGCCTTTCATATTGCCTCGCTCATCGTATCGTATGCATTCAAATTTTCTTTATTTTAAAAGAGCAGCTGTTGTGAAAGGAAGACCGAGAATTTCAAAGTTGTGTCCAGTACTGCTGAATCCAATGAATATGAAACACCATTGGTGAAAGATAACGCAGCACATCGAATACTGTACACGCTCATTTATGGCAATCCTTCCTTTCTCGCATCCCACGTAATGTGTTCAGGGTTGTTCTGACTTCTGAGTGACCCGGAAACAAAAAAATAATAATGCGCACCCTAAGAATAATCAATGCAGCAAAATCGAAGATTATGGAAAAAAAGCCATGTTAACCCGTTTTTAATTGGTTTGGATATTTACGCTAGTTAGCACTTCTTTAAAAATATTTTTATTCATGTGGAAAGGCGGAGAAAATAAAAACATCTTCACAATTCGTTGTTCATTTCTTGAATTTCCGCATGGCCTTTTATGGACAAGAGCTCTTTTATCCGTTTTAGGCACTCAAAAGTTGAAACGAGTCTTGCACCCCTTTTTTGAGTGTACAAGGATGAATGTATATATTGTACTGTACTTCAACTTACTGTATGCCATATTTTATCGTTTGTTCTTGAAAATGACTCACCCGATTTCGAATGCAGGGGAAGAGAAGGACTAAAAGTGCATCCCCGTCGCCGTAAAATTTATGATTCACCTGGGACACTATTGTACAGTACATGCATTTTAACTTTTCGAGTTCAGTGATAAATGTACAGTACTCACGTAACGTACAAATCCTAGCCTATTTTTCCTTGACCCTATTTTTTATCCTTCACGAGTAGTTGCAAAGATTTTGGAGACGAATGTTGAACCCCCAAAACAGCTTCATAAATAAGCTCTGGTAAATTAAATACTGTTTTTTTTTGGTGCCACCCCTAGCACAGTGCCAAAAAATTGCATGGAACAAATCTTTCTCCATTGTGTTCCAAAGAGAAACCCCAATTTATTGACACATAGCAGCAAGAAAATTTCTTCACCTGAATGATAAATAGGCCAATGTCAAAGTGATTAAGGTGTAATTTCCAGGGATATCAATACAGTTTATTACTGATGAGAACGGAAGTGCGCGTGGTACTCGAGTACAGTACAGTAAATATACGGTAATTTACAATGCTTGAAGGGGTGTTTCTCTTTCTTCTTAATGATCGCAGATGATGATGATGATACTGTAATAATTCTTTTTGTGAATTTCAGGTAATGTCTGAACCGCTTTCGGGCGACACGACGCGGTTCTTCTCCCGCAAACTCGTTTTCGTCTACTCCACGGTCCAGGCCATCGAATCCGACATTGGCAAGTTCATCGACGAGTTCATCGCTGCAAAAAGCTTCACCGCCGAAACCTTCTCCCGCATTTGGCACCAAAACAAGTTCGCCTACGTGTTTGCCGAAATCCCGCACCCCGGCGACGCCATTGAATTCGCCGAGACCCTCTTGTCCGTCACTCGGAACTTCTTCCTTCCGCCTCGCGACATGTCCGTCCGCACCGCTGCCCTTTTCCTTTTGCACGCCTTTTTCGTCGTCCAGCCGGTGTCTCGCAGAGCCCACGTGATCCTGAGCACAGAGCACTTCAAGGACGTGCGCGGGCACGTCAAATGGATGATGGCGAACGAAGTCACGGATGGACTCGTGTTGCTGGCTTCCTTGGTGCGGATCGGCGGGATTTTCTACTGTCTGGACCCGCAACCCCGGGAACCCGAGTTTTTCCGCGAGTACAATATCGAAGCTGGGGTAGTTGAGTCGTCGCGAGGGGACGTGGTGAGTGGAGTGGATCCCGAGCTGGCTGAACGAGTGGACACTGCCCTGAAGCAGTTTACGTATTTGAGTGAAAAGTATTCGAACGTGTGCAAGTTGTTGGAGGAGAGACTCGGGGTGGAGCAAGCCCGGAGATTGTTTCCCATGGGCACGGATCCGATTAAGCTTCCGGCGGCTGGGCAAGATGTCGCTGCGGAGACTGTGGATGAGAAAGAACAACGTGGTGGTGTTGCTGGGGAGACTGAGAATGAGTCGATTATTGACCGGAGACGGAGATTGCGGAATGCGGCTTTTGGATTTCCTGCTGCCAAATCGTGACGGTGAAAGGAAGTGATGCAAATTTGCTATGTTTTTGTTTTGTGTTGGTTTTTTTTACTACGAGCGGTGTACTTGCATTTGTAAAGTGTTTTTTTTTTCTAAATGAACATTTTTGCACTGAATGGCTGAGTGTTCTGGAATTGAATACAGTCTCAAACCTTTGTAAGTTGATCCTTGAGAGACCAGCAGAAATATTCGAATTGAGGAAACAAGCATTTTTGTTGTGGGGGGAAAGAAGGAAGAATTACAGAGAATTGTAATTGGTGATATTCTGGGCCTCAAATTGCATTTCAAATGACTTGACAGGCTTCTGAACTTGGAGGCAAGGGTTCACTTGACCAATTAATCTTTCAATTCCTTTTGATGCACATTAAATACAATTTTTATTGCATTTATCATTTGTGTGTCAATAAAATAATGCCCAAAAGGCATCCATAAATTTTTAATCATGGAGGAAATTGTAGAAGATAGTCTTTCAATTACGGAGGGCTGCAATGTATTGTTTTTTAAGGGAATCCAGACAGAGATTTAAAATTAATTACATCTAAGGAGGCATTTGACTCAAGGATTTAGAGATATTTAGGCCCAACTGTACTAAGATGCCTAACTAAACAAATCAAATTTTTTAACAAAAGAGTTGGCTTTATGGGATTAATTATTCCAAACTGTACAATGCAAATTTAAGTACAGTACATGTAATAGTTCACAAAGAGTCAAAATTATTAAAAAGCACTTTAACTTTCAGGTCACAGAGGACTTCCCAAATATTTGCACAGCAGAAACTTGCCAAATGTATCAACTGAAGATATTTCCATGCACATTTTTAGTTTCTTATTTTTACAAATCAAATTACTCTATTTTCTCTTTTCTTATTTTCTGCAAACAAGTGAGCAATAATCTAATTTAAAAAAGAACTGGCTTTTAAATTTACATCATGCTGATTCCTGACTAGTGTTGAATGAGTTCTTGAAGAAATTGCAATAGTGATGCATGAATTTTGTTGGAGGAATCAAAGAAAGAAATTTCCAGAAAAAAAACAGAAGTAACCATTCAATGTACAGAACATTCTTGAGTTTGTAGGATTAGAAAGATTGAGGGTTTTTTAATTAAAATAAAAATAAATTGAGGAATAGTTGAGTTATTGCATTTGGTGAGTTGTCCCATGACTGTCAGAGATTGTATGAATTTCAATAAAAGTTGGGTTCCATTTTCCAGGCACATGCCTTCTGAAATAATCACTTGAAAGTTCTCAGTAAACTTCACAGAAAATTGGAAGCAAGAACGATTGAATTTATCTGTGTGAGAGAAAATTGCATTAACTCGACTGTATGCTAGAAGAAGAAGTGAAGTTTGAAATTCGTGCTGAAGCCCATTTTATTCTTTGCAGAAATTATCCTTATTCGACCACGCTTTTCTTTTTCTCTCTCTTTTGCTCTCGGAATCGAAAAAGACTTTCGCTTGTTTGCTGTTTATATTGTGAAATTTAAAAAAAAAAATGGCGACTGCTCGTTCTCGGTCCTGGTCGCCGAGAAAGGAATCCAATCCGTATCCGGTCGGCGGGGATGACGGAAGTGTTCCGGACCGAGGGTTCGGCCTGTCGGACCATCCCCGTGCCAAGGATTACCCGCTGTGCGGCGAAAACGAAGAGTCTATCCCGGATCTCGGGTTCGGGTTGCGGGGACTCAGTGCTGGAGGTCGGAGAGTCAAAGCCGGGCCCGAGGTCGGGACGGACGATGCGTCTGTGCCGGATTTGGGATTCGGTTTGAAGGAAAAACGTGCTGGAGAGTCGAAGGAAAAAGGAGCTGGGGTGGAGGATGTCATCAAGCCTAAGAAAGTGAGGATTACCATTTTGGGGTTTTTTTTTTTCTTGGAGTGGTGACTAAAGTACTGTACAGTATAGTGATATTTTAATTTGAGTTTCCTTTTGGGGTAACCCGGGATGAAGACAAGATGGGTTATGCATTTTTTTACTCTCCATCTGTGATGAAATGTCAAATTTTGTAATTTGTTTCTGCATGTACACTCTTCCTTCAGCCAATTTTAGAATTTAAAGTTGAATGAGCCGCTTTAAAATTGTGAAAAGGAATGAAAACCTTAAACCAAAATTTAATGCACAAAACTCATTGGCAAAAGATTTCGAGGAATAATAGGAAAATTTGTAAATTGACACAATGTCATTGCAACCCTGCTGAGAAAGTTTTGCATTAAAAAATAAGTAAAAAGAGACCCTTTCTAAAATCTTAAAGGATCAAGATAAACTGTTTGCCTTATATGATTTCTCATCAAAGATTCTCTCTAATTTGTTCATTCAACTACACCTCATACAGAAACACTCTGAAGACCTTGTGCTTTAAATTAGTTTTTACGCATATTTTGTTTTCAATGTCAGGGAATGAATGGGTGTATGCATACATGTCAGATGTCCAATTTTATTTCATGGATTGTATTTTCTTTTATTTTTGTTATCAATTTGTGCTCTGTTTCCTGCTTTGAAGTGATTAAATGTCAAAGAGTGGATTTGGGTTGGGTGGGAAGGGGGTTTGGTTGTGGAAATCTTGATTGAACCTTGTGAATGCTGAAAAGCGGCAAATAAAGTGTTCTGTTCATTCATTCATTCATTCAAAGTAAAAACTGGTCATCAAAAAAATCTTGGGATTGTCACAAGACTTGAGATAAATAATATTTTGTAATGATGTCTATCAAAGAAATTTTCCACTTATGTACCGCGAGATGAAGAAAAGATGGTTCTTCATTTTTCACTCTCTTTTGGTGATTCAAATTCTCTTCAATTTTTTGCATAGTACACTCTTGCATCCAGCCAATTGAAAATGTGCAGAATTACAAGAAAATTTTGTGCCAAAATTTAATCGCCAAAAAATATTCTTGGCAAAAGATTTTGCAAAAAACTTTAGGATACATGTGAATTAACACCATGCCTCTGCAAACCCCCTTAAAATGTTTTGCCCTTTTACTCATTTAAAATAAAATCGGCTATTCAAAAATTTTGAGATTTTGACATGACGTAGGTATATTTGACTTGGTTCAACTGTACCATGCATTCAAAGTACGGTATTATATTGTACTGTATAAGTGTGGTATCTTTTTCTGCTTTAGGCTTACGTGTTGGGCTCGGAGTCGAAGCCGGTACCCCACATTCGAACCCAGGATTGTTCCAGGTTCCTCGGGGACCTGAAGGCAAGTGTGGAAGTTGTTCATCGGACAGCCAGCGAACGTCGGGCGTCGATTTCGGGTCCCAAGTCCACTGGAGACGGCGATACGGCAACTAATAAGAGTTCGGCCAGAGACGGCTACACGACGGACACTTGCTCTGACGACGACCTGGATGATTCCTCTGTGCTCGAAAATCTGGCTTCTGATGCCGTGGATGTCAGAGAGTTAGTTTCGCGTTTTCATGTCCGTTATCCATGCTGTACTTGAAATGATTGTTTTTTTTTTATTTTTATGGGCGAAGCCGGGAAATTGAGTACAGTACAATATTGTACTGTACAGTACTGTGCATCTGTGTTCCCGAACCCATGGTCCGAAGAATTTTTTTGCCAATCCGTGGGAAATTTTCTTCAGCATGATAAATTTGTTGAAATTAGCAATGAAATGTTTCATCTTTATCCAACATTTTGGAAAAACAGTGGGATTTGAAATTATCTGATGAAAATTAAAGTTGATTTTTCTCCTAATAACACCAGACAAATTTTCACGGGCTGAAATAAATTATCTATGATTTTAATTCTAAGAAACATTTGCTCGAGGACACCTTTCCAATTTTATGAAGACATTTCACTATACTGTAGCTGCTTCATTGGTTCTCAACTTGAATAATTTTGACATGTAGCATACACTTTTTAAATACCTGCCATGCAACTTTCTTTGAGCCAGCAAACATTTTACAAAACTTTGCCTGTCTGCAGACAATTTTTTGGAAATTTGTAGGTCCACGAGAAAATGTATGGAAATTTCTGGACCCAAAAAGGTTGGGGAACACTGGATTATGCTGAAGAGCAACATTTTGGGCTCCTTGTAATAATCCTGCACGCTTTTAATAATCAATTGAAACCGATTCCCGGAATGACTAATTTTATTGGGCACAACATTTTTTTGTGATTTAGGGCGATTGAGGGTATGGAAGCGCAGTTGCCGAAATTGCCGAAAATTAACAGGTTTCTGGCTGCAATCGCGACTAACTCCGTGCCCACTATCCAGGAACCGAAGACGGAATGTTCCTTGAGGTTGGTTTTGGTATCTTTGTTGTTGTTGTTGTTGTCCGGATTATATGTTACTTGAAATTGTGACATTTTCGGGATTGAGTTTAATTCCAGTGTATGTCTGATCTCATGCATTTCAAAATCACTCACGGTATTTTTAAACATATTTTTGAAGTTTGTATCCTCTGTTGCAGGTGGGCTCTCTTAACAACAATCTTGTCAGTGACTATGTTCTCTGTGTAACAAATTGATTTTTTTGTCCTAAAGTAATACAGTATAGGGTTCTCTTCCTTTGTTATAGGGATCCTCAACAACAAAAGAATCTCCACAACGAATTTTTTCTTGTCCCTCGAATTTCGTTGTAGACTGAGTCCACCTATATTTGAAAATTTTCTGGCACGGTCTAATCTTTTTGAGTCAAACTTCAAGAGAGCAGCGAAAAAATTGACTTTGGGTGGTTTTTAGTTGATGAAGCAAGCGTTTGTGCTGATGGAGAGAAAAAAAATGTTGGGAAAAAATTGTAATTGGTGCTATTCCAGGCCTTGATTTTCTTCTTGAATGAGTGGGACAGGATGCAGAAGTTGGAGGCAAGGGTTAATCTGCCCATTTGGTTTTTCACCGCTTTTTAAGCAGGATACAGACAAATCAAGACAGACAATTTGAAATTGGGTCAATTTGAGACAGAAACTTTTGGAGACTGGGGCAATTGGAGATATGGACATTAGAGACAGGGTCAATTTGAGACAGTCCCAAAGTAACTCTGCACACACACGTTTTTTATTATATATTTTATATTGTGGAATTTTATATTCTTTGAAAAATATTGAATGTTTGAAATATGCTTTGTTAGAAATATTCCATTATAATACTTGTGTGCTATAGTTTTTTTTTATACAAGGTGTTATGCATAGAAAAAATTTCTTGGCCACAAGAGAATATTTTGTGCAGTTCAGTGAATATTCAGAAAAATGATGGAGGATGTTCTGTTGTTTTTTATGTGTATTGCATTGGATCAAGAGAGGAATGAAAGCAAGGAAATGCTCCTGTCTCAAATAGTCCTTGTCTCAAAATTATGTCTGTCTCCAAATGTACCTGTCTCACATTGTCTCTGTCTCCAAAAGTTTCTGCCTCAAATTGTCTCTGTCTGAAATTGTTCCTGTCTCCTATTGTCTGTCTGAATTTGTTCTAGATCCTTTCAAGCAAATCAATTCACATTTTCTTTGCTTTTCTCTTTAAGTTGTCAATAAAATAATACTGTAGACAAAAGGCATTTGGAAAATTTGAGGTCTTAAAAGGAAAGCCTTTGAGTTAGGCATTAATCAATTAATTTTTTTGCATCTTGATGCATTGATTTCTATGGGATTTCAGAAAAGGACTTCGAAGAAATGTTACATATTGAGATTAGACTTCTAGAGATTTATGTGTACTGTATTCAAATTGCCTCATAACCCTCACATTCCCTCATGACCATAATTTTATGCCGTTCTTGCAGTCCTCCAATATTCGACGCCATTGTCCAATCCGTGGATGCTTTCCAAGTCATCATGGAAACGGTGATTGAGCAAGGAAGTGGCTTGAACATCTCGGGTGTTTTGAATCGTGGGAAAGCCGTTGGCAAGGCTTCGAGCTTGGCCGAGTTTGAGGCGGTGCGAGGAGAAATCGGCGCCACTTTGGACAAGCTGGGATTGTTGACTGGCCTCGCTGTGGAATGCAAAGGCGCCCTGGAAGCTATCGGAGCGTCTGTTGAGGCCGCCATGGTGTCCATGAATGGGGAGCAGAGGAAGCAAATGGTCGAGGTTCGTGTCGTTCGGATTTTTTTTTCTTCTTCTTTTATTGCGTCTAGCTTCTTTTGTCCTTGAAACTTTGTCAATCAGCAGTTTGTACAATTTTGTCACTTTCGAGACGTTGTTTTGGTACTTTCCTGTTATCTCAGTACCTCATTCCTATACCGCACTACCATCCAGACAACTCTTTAGGACCAGTTCATAATCACGACGACCTACCAGAAACTGTGAATTTTATTTTTCCGCATTCTGCTGAAACTGATTTTGGCAGGCGGTTAGGTAAAGTTAGGTTAGGTCAGGTTATGTTAGTTACACATATATTTTAATTAACATAACCTGACCTAACCTAACTTTGCCTAACCGCCTCCCAAAATCAGTTTCAGCAGAAACCCAAAGAAAGCAGAAAATGATTTTGGGAGGCGTCTAGGTCAGGTTAAATTGGTCCAAGGGAAGGTACAGAGATAACAGAAAAGGAGGTACTGAGATAACAGGAAAGTACCGTTTTTTTTTCTTTAATGAGGAAATTGTAAGTTTGTGGGATTGATTTGGCTTTCAATCTCTGCCAATTTGAAATTCCATGCTGCTCACCAATGTACACCTCAACAATCTATTGTACAGTACTTATCTCAGTACAAAGGTACCTCATTGTATGAACACCTTGTAGTTTAAAAATTCTGTACAAGTACAACACATTTTTGTCCTATGATGTTCTACCCTTGTACAGTTGTACTACAAGTAACATTTTCAGTAACACACAAACTTTAAAATTAAAAAAGGACCCAGAAACTGGGTTTTTTTGTTTTCAAAGAATTTTTTGGCTTGCTTCTTTCAGGCTCAGTCTATTGAATCTGCAGTGCACACTTTTCCAGAAATCCACACTTTCCCTGAAGAAAAAATAATTAGAATGTTAACTTATTTTCAAACAGTTTTGTGGATAGCCCCCTTTCATGAAATGTTTTAAATTGAGTTATCCTTCTTCAATATGCTGTGGAATGTGAAGCAAATACCAACCAAGCTCTTGAAAGTTCAAAATACCTCTGAGGCATGCCCTCATTATCTATGTACTGTATACATATATACAGTATACATTGTCCCTCCTTCAGACTCCTGTTCTGGCTACTCCTTGTGAATTTCAGCATTAATTATGGAAGAAAGGACTCTTGATGTGCAAGTAATGATGCTTTTGTTGACTAGGCTCCCTTTTGAAAATTGTGCCACTCTCAATTGTACTGTACAAAAGGTTCATTTCATATACATGTACAGTACTGCTAAAACATGCTAAAACATGAAATGTTTTAAATTGAGTTCTTCAATATGCTGTGGAATGTGAAGCAAATACCAACCAAGCCCTTGACAGTTCAAAATACATGCTGTGCATCACTGTCCAAAAAAGTATGACCTGAGGCATGCCCTCATTATCTATGTATACATATATACAGTATACATTGTTCTTCCTGAAGACTCCTGTTCTGGCTACTCCTTGTGAATTTCAGCATTTAATCTTGGAAGAAAGGACTCTTGATGCCCAAGTAATGATGCTTTTGTTGACTAGGGTGACTAGGCTACCTTTTGAGAATTGTGCCACTCTCAATTGTACTGTACAAAAGGCTTATTTCAAAAATCTGGTTATTGTTCCAGTTGAATTGCTTGGAATTGACTCCACAGCCTCATTAATCAGTATTTTTGCATCCATCCATCTTAAAAAAAAAATAAACAATTCATACAGGGTTTAAATGCTGCTCTTGGAATTCTTGAGTGAAATGAAAACTATAGAATGGATGAAAACATGAAAATGTAGAAGAGGGCCTAGCAAATTGATCAGATTATCATTATTATCAGTTAGCTAATAATCAGTGTTTTTATGCTGTGAGTTACCAAGTAAGAAAAGCTGAGTGCAAGATCAAAAAAATTGAATGTGGTTTAATTTGTGACCCATCATCCTTGACTTGTAATTTGTCCAAGTCACTCAAGTGCTCAACATTAGTTGCCCTCACACCAGTTCACCTTGCTTTCACAATTTTAAAATGCTGGGTAACATGAAGCCAATTATTGTCTGGTTTTTAAAATCCATAATTACTCCCTGTTTAAAAAAAAATAAGCTATGGTATAATTTAGGGTAACTAGTTGAAGGCCAAGAAATAAAGTAAGAGGAGGAATGTTTCAATTGGACTCAAGGACCAGCAGTTGATTGCATCCTCTTCTGCATTTTGCTCCAGGATTCCAGAGAGGAAACCCCCCCCCAATATACACACACACACACATACACCCCAAAATTCACCTTGAGATGGTTTCCTTATTGGCTCCATGCTAGCTTTTAGCAGCAATAAATTACCGAATCCCGGCGCGAAAAAAAAAAATCACAACCGGATAATTTTTTTTCAGCACATAAATAAACACACAAAAAAAAATATATATATGCCTATACACTGTACAGTACAAATGTAAGAAGTATATGTCTGGCAAAAAATTCCGACATGGCAAGAAGTATACACAGTTTTTTTTTGCAAACAAAAGAATTTGGCAAGAAAAGTGTCCCTTGTTTTGGGAGGCGACAAACTCTGCTTAATATTATACCGTCGTTTCGAATCGTTGTACAGTAAAATACCGTTACAACCTGTTAATTTTCTTTTATTTACAACGAATTAATTAGCTTTTATTTGATTATTTTTCGGTTTCCAGTCATATTGAGACATGAAGTTATTTCACAGCGTATTTTAAATTACGAATTATTTGATATCACAAAAACAATTTTTTCCTGATTGCAAATGTTTTGTTGTAACGATATTTCACTGTATTGCGTATTCCAAGCCAATTGGTCATGGACGGTGGTTTTTTTGATATGACTCATTCTTGGGGGATCCATTTGCGCAGGATCTCGGCGCTTTCAAGGAGAGGTGACGTGTATTGCAGAATGTTAAAGCTGTAGATACACAGAACATCTCTACATTGAAATAGTTACAGATTATAAAGCTGAGGTTAGGAAAGATAGAAAGAGAGATAGAGAGAGAAGTACAGACAAGACGGATTTGAAGAGAGAAAAACAATTACAGTGGGGCCCCAACATGCAGATAATTCAACTTATTTGAACTCAAAAAACTCCTCCCCAACATTTTGACAATGTCTCAAAATATGAACACTACCAAACTTTTCAGAAAAATTTAAAAAAAGGTTTTCCTAAAAATTCTGGTAGCTCTTTAACAAATTTGGGCTTTTCATAAATGGATGCAAATTAAAAGTTATAGTATTATGAATGTATTCTTAATTCCTAATCCAAATCAGGCTACATTTTTGCTTCTCTTTTTATATTATTTTCCCGCATCAACAATGTAGAGTATAGCAATACTTGATATTATTTTTATTTTTGAACACCTTTTAATTCCAGAAGGGAAAATTCTTTGTGGTTTTCTTCTGACCAGTTACTTTCTGTATCTTGAAACTAATTAAACAAATTGTATGTATTCTTTTGAAGGAATTTACCCTAAATTTTAACCAAACAGGGAAATTAATTAAATATGTTTCTTATTGCAGTCTATAATAAAGTTTGACATTTTATATCAAGCAGGGGAAGTAATTAAAATTGTTCCCAATGAAATCCTGAATAAAGTGTGAAATTTTGCAATTTTTGGCCCAACAGGAGAAGTAATTGAGAATATATCTAATATGTGCAGACATTCCTACATAAAGACACAGTGAAAAAAAAATCAATCAAGGTCCACATGATGGGATGCCCCCCCCCCCCACTGAGTATGTATACCTGTAAAAAATTGATGAGCATCCTGTCCAATCTGGAGGAAACAGTTGCATCAGCAAGAAAACAAAATTAAAAGGAAAATTTTGTCAATTGCTAAATTAAAAGAGGTCTGAGAACAAGTCATCATAGGATGAGGAAGATGGGGAGTGATGGTGGTCATCAATGGGCGAATAAGAATGTCGGTAGTGTTGTTGGTGCTGTTGATGGTATGAGTTGGCAACCCTGGGGCTGGGCTTGCTGCTGCGGGCCGCATAGCGGACAACAGGTGGCGCTCTGTAGGTGGATGTTGTTGTTGTTGTTGCTGCTGCTGCTGCTGCTGGCCGACTCCAGACACTGACAACGCGTCGCCCCTTCTTATGCTTATTATTGTAGCTGCTGCTGCTGTGGTGCTTTTTCCCGCGTACTACCACAACCGTTGGCCCTGCTGATGTGCGATAGGTCTGTTGGTAACAATTTCAACAGGGGAGAAATGGTCAGGGATTTTTAAAAATGAATAACTAAATAAATGAATTGGGATGAGAAGAGCATGCTGAAGTCAAACTGGTGTGTGGCAGAACTTCTTGCTCCCCAAAGAACACCAAAGTTGTTGTTGATTTTTTTAAATACAGTACTTATTTTCAAGTAAAAAAATAATCTCTTCAACTTCTGATCTGCAAGCAGAACAAGCACAACCTTCTTGGTTCAATTCAGCAGTATTTTTTGTGAAGATGAAAATAATGATTTTCTCATGCTGTGATTTTTTAGAAAATAGATTGTGCAATATGCCTGCTGGTAACAATTTCAACGGGGGAGAAATGGTCAGGGATTTTTTTTAAATGAATAACTAAATAAATAAATTGGGATGAGAAGAGCATGGTGGAGTCAAACTGGTGTGTGGTAGAACTTCTTGCTCCCCAAAGAACACCAAAGTTGTTGTTGATTTTGCTAAATACTTATTTTTAAGTAAAAAAATAATCACTTCAACTTCACAACCTTCTTGGTTCAATTCACCAGTATTTTTTTGATGAAAATTAATGATTTTCTCATGCTGTGATTTTTTAGAAACAGATTGTGCAATATGCCTGTTGGTGACAATTTCAACGGGGGAGAAATGGTCAGGGATTTTTCTTAAATGGATAACTAAATAAATAAAATGGGATGAGAAGAGCATGCTCAAGTCCAACTGGTGTGTGGTAGAACTTCTTGCTCCCCAAAGAACACCAAAGTTGTTGTTGATTTTTTTAAATACTTATTTTCAAGTAAAAAATAATCTCTTCAACTTCTGATCTGCAAGCAGAACAAGCACAACCTTTTTGGTTCAATTCAGCAGTATTTTTTGTGAAGATGAAAATAATGATTTTCTCATGCTGTGATTTTTTAGAAAATAGATTGTGCAATATGCCTGTTGGTAACAATTTCAGTATGAAAGAAATCATCAGGAATTGTAAAAAAAGAATACTGTAAGTATGTAAATCAAGGTGTGAAGTGCATACTTATTGGGAACTGGTGTGGCAGAACAATTGCTCCCAAGCAACACAACAGTTTGTTTTTGAACTTAATTTCAAGCACACAAAAAACCCCCCACTCAACTTCTGATCTGCTTTAATGTAAGCAGAACCTTGAGGCTTGAATTCTTATGCTGTAATTTTTTTTTTTAGAAAAAAAATTTCAGACAATTGTTTTTCTTGGAATTTTGGATTCAAGATTCCCCAGTGGACCTCCACTGAAATTTTGTTTCAGTTCCTGTTTTAATTTTTTATTCAACTTTTTTCTCTTTTTTGTTGTCTGTCCACCAAAGAATATATTGGGAGGTACAAGTACAGCTGACAAGGGGTCTGAGACAGAATTGAGACAGTGCAGTAAAGTGTGCCAAAGTTTCTGCCATTTGAAAATATTGATGAATATTTCCCTGGAATGATGCATGAGATCATTTTCTAAACTTTCAATGATTTCCAGGATTTGAATAATTCTTGAAAATTTTTTAAAAGTATGATTTGAAGGGAGAGAAAATCTCTGATGACTAAGCTAATAGTTCTACACATCATTAAAAAATACTATTGAAGGAACTTGATTTCATTTTTAAACTACAAAGTATGCAGTTGAAGGTATTTTTGGTGTGCCAATAATGCAAAATTAAAGAAACTGATCTTGCCAGTTAATAAAAGCTGCTCACATTGCAGTACTGTATGAGCTCCTGCATGTGTTTGATTCAAGTGGGGGCCCCAAGATGCGGACGTAATTTCTTTCTTGACTTTGTCCATGTGTCAGAACATCTGCATGTCAAATAAAATTTACCCATCGAATTGAATGAGAACATATTGTATGACTTTGCCTGCTTGGCATCAGAATTGGGAAACGTCATCAAAAAAAAAAATGAAAACATCATTTTTAAACTTTAAAATACATAAAATAACTGGCTGCTGAAAACTACATCAAGTCTGCAGTTTTTTTTGCATGAAAACGTATCTAAAAAGCAAAAAAAGCCAACATATTTTACAGTTCACTGTTGATGGCAAAGACACAAATTACCCATTTTCAGATTACAAATTAAAGTAAATAACATTTGAGCATATTTTGAGTTTTTCTCCATAGAAATAGTCAATTTGTTCAAGATATGTGTATCAAAATTTTCAGAAAGGAACATTTTAAATTCTTGTGCAAACATTGCCTGACCAAGACATGGTCCTGATTTCTGGACATTTTTGGAGGGTCAAAGTGTCCGTATGTTGGGGCCCCACTATTCAGTATAGTGCAGAATGGTAATGTACAGTACAATAATGTACATTACTGTACATAGATTATGTGCATATGGTAAAATTTACAAACCTGGTGAACGGCAGCGGGTCTCAGCAGTTTTTGAGAGTGCCCCTGTGCATGATGGTGACCATAAGCAATGGGGCGGTACCTGAGGTGGCTCACTGTTGAGCGGTACAGTGGTGCCCCGTAAACCCGCTGGTGGGTGATGGTACCATCGTCATCATGCTCTACACTTCCTGACTTGGACTTCTTATTGGCCCCTGCCGCAAGGAGGGACCCATCACTGTTGTTGTCATCTAGGTCAAACCGCAAGAAGCTAAAAAAATAAAAAATAAAAATCATGAGAAAAGTGGTGCATGGATTGTTAGAGTCAAAGTGTGTGTCACCATATCTGTTAAACAGTGTTGGAAACCCAGGTAATGACAAAAAAAAGTCTGAGAGTGACAAGACAAGTTTTGTAAGGTTCCTTGTCCAAATAAATTAGATCACTGCATGAAATTCTGAGTGATGATTGAGACTGATTCAAATACATAAAATCTTCTTCTTCTCTAATTTTCACCATTTTTTAAACATTTTCTACTGGAGAATTCCTAGAAAACAAAGAACAGCACATGAAACCTGTTCAAATGTTACCCTTCTTCTTTTAGAATATAGTATCTCAATTGATGAAATTGCAGCAGAATCCCCCAACATGCAGTAAAATAGAATGAAGTACAATAAATTGAATGTCTTTGGGGGGAGTTGGGTTGGGTGGGGAGGGGGGTTTGGATGCAGGAGTCTTGGTTGTGCCTTGTGAATACTGAAAAGCAGCAAATAAAGTGTTCTGTTCATTCATTCATTCATACAATAAATTACTGTACCTGGTTGCAGAGTAAGATGGACGCTTCTTATGGTAGCGTTTGCTGCTGGTTCCCTTCTTTGTACCCTTGCTCTTATTGTCATTGTCTGCTTCTGCTGCTGTAGTGCTGCCATCTGCTCCTCCCTCTGATGCTGCTTCAGTGTTACCATTATGGTCTCCAGTGGTTTCAGTACCAGCATTTGTTTCCATGCCACCCTCTTCCTTGTTGCCCATGTCTGTCTGACTGTGGCCACCTTCTCCTCCAGCACCACCACCAGTGCTGCTGGCCTCTTGGGCTGTCCCTGCTCCTGATGTGGCATCTCCAGCACCAGCAGCAGTGTTGGTGGCACCACCTTCTGCAGCACCAGCATCAGCAGTGTTGCCCACATCAGCACCACCACTACCAGCAGCAGCAGCAGTAGCAGTAGCACCAGCACCAGACTCCATGGTTTCTGCTTTAGCTTCAAGCGTGGTGTCAGAGACAACCTCTAGTTCAGTCTTTGTTGATGCAGATAGCTCTTTGCGCGCAAAGTCCACAATTGAGGCCAGGTCTCCATTGATGTTGTTGGCCTT